CTAATTAATTTGTTAAGAGGATTACTCTGCCTTTCTGCTCTCATCAGGGCCACCAAAACACCTAATATGCATGATAAAAACACATCTTAAAATAGGGCAGGTGGTACTAGAGGCTAAATCCAAGGATATCTTCTCTCCCCCTTTCTCTGACCCACTCCATGCCCTGGCAAGTAAAGTTCTTCCATTAGCAAAATACTTCCACTTACAAACAGCAGATGGCACCAAAGTTTGCAGGAAAATGCACTTAATGCACCCACACAGCACAGCTGTTCTGGTTGTTATATGTAAGGGGATCAAACAGTTGCTCCTATCAGTAATTTCTGCATGTTACCAGTAAAAGGGAGAAGAGGAAGTATGACTTGAATCTTGCGCTACATCATCCCACAAAAGCCACTCACATTTCCTACATCCTGTAACTTGGCTCAGTTACTTCAATGTTCATTGACAGTACACAACAAATAGGCAAATCAAGTTATCTGAAGTACAAAGAACAGAAGCTTGCTGGACTCGTCTAGCTACTCAGGCATCATGTTAGGAGGGGGGGGAAGTCATCTGAAGCCTCCCTAACTAGAACATGGGTTTCTGAGGGAGAAGAGGAAGTATGACTTGAATCTTGCGCTACATCATCCCACAAAAGCCACTCACATTTCCTACATCCTGTAACTTGGCTCAGTTACTTCAATGTTCATTGACAGTACACAACAAATAGTCAAATGAAGTTATCTGAAGTACAAAAAGAACAGAAGCCTGCTGGACTCATCTGGCTACTCAGGCATCATGTCAGGAGGGGGGGAAAGTCATCTGAAGCCTCCCTAACTAGTATAAACTTTGATCTGGGCATCCTGAAATCATCAATGGCAGATTTGTATGAGTGTGCTTGTAGTCCCAGTAACTTCTGGCACAAAACAGTTACAGAATTGTCAATGTGGAATATTCTAACTGGAAAATGAGTGGCATGTACAGAGACAGAGACAGAGAAAGACAGAGAGAGAGAGAGAGACAGAGACAACAAATATAGCACATAGAATTGATTAAGAATAGATCTTTCCAAAAGAGCAATAAGGCCATGGGCCACATTGTGACAGGGTATTTTCTTTTGTTAAGAAGCAAAAAATGACCATGAATGGCTGCAGAAAATGCTCATACCAAGTCTATTCAAAACTGATGGGGGTATCAAATTGTATTTTCAATTCCTCTCTCAAAACTTGTAAGTAGTTTTCAGAAATCCAGTATTTATGGAGGACAACAGGATCCACCTCTGCACTGCCATGCAAGTCAATAACAAAAAAAGTTGAGAAACTATGATAGGCAATTAAACTATATCTTTTAATTAGTTCAGACAAACATGGCTGAAGCATTAGTTAAAGGATATAAAATGTCACCAACAATTCAGCAGTGGCCAGGTTTTTAATTAGTTAGAAAAAAATGGTCCTGCTCTGTAGATAAGCACACTACTCTGCTTCCTTCAGAACTCTTTGAACGTTTTTTTTTCTGTTCTTTGTCACTGATTTATTTAACAAATGGTCATTGGGGAAGAGAGGCTGCATCCTGCATGTCTTGACAGCAGAGTTTCTGTTTCTACTTTATAATAAATATACAGCAGCAACTGTTTTCCACTCACATTAAATCACTGTCATATGCATAACTTCAGTTTTTAGTGGATCTGAACTACAGAAAACTGTACAGGTCTATATAACGGTACTTTCAAGTTACTTGTATATTATGAAGGCAGACAATGCTACACAGTTATAGCACTTCCTTAGTATGGTTTTGGGAATGCTGAACACTTGCTGTCTTAACAATACACGACATAACAAGAAAAAAGAAAGGAAAAGAAAAAAGAAAAGGGGAAAAGGGGAAGAACATAAAAGGCTTCAGATTTTCTCTGTAACAAATATACTTTTGATAAGTTTTTCTTGCTTATGTATAAAAACAACTCACTCTCTTTTTGTTTCCCCTTAAGCAAATTTCTTATTCAGAAAAACCACAAACCATCAAGCTATCCTTATCTTTTTCATGCAAAAGGCCAATCTTTAGTAAATAAAATAATTATCTTTTTCCTAACCAATTTAGCCATAACTACAAGGTCCAACATCTTCTCTAACCATTCGTCTACTATAGGTATCATCGGACATTTCCATTTGTATGCATGTAACATTTTCACTGCCATGGTCAAATAGAGGAACAAAAATCCATAACTTCTTTCCAACTGATTATCCATATATTCCTCTTCCCTTTGCAGAGAATTGGCCAAAAGTAATATAATCCTCTCTCTGAAGTCTTCAACAGTTTCTTCATGAATAGCTCTCAGTTTCAGACAGTACTCCTTTTCTCTCAAGTGCATAAAATTGGCCAAAAATGATATAATCCTCTCTCTGAAATCTTCATCAGTTTCTTCTTGGATAGCTCTCAGTTTTAGACAGTACTCTTTTTCTCTCTCAAATCCATAAGGACAAATAAACCCACATGCCTCTTGAGTTCTCTTCTATTTTATTTTCTACAGCAACCACTTTTTCATTTATTTGCTTAACTTCAAATTCTTGAAGAAGTAGAACATGCTCCCGATTGAGATCAGGGCCCTGCGGGATTTGTTACAGTTGTAACACTTGTGAAGGGCCTGTAAGATGGAGCTGTTCCATTAGGCCGTTAGTGGAGATTTTTGTTGTTGTTCAGTCACACAGTCGAGTCCGACTCTTCGCGACCCCATGGACCAGATCACGCCAGGCCTTCCGGCCTTCCGCCGTCCTCTGAAGATGGCTCAACTTCATGTTCGTTGCATCGATGACACTGTCTAACCCTCTCATCCTTTGCCGTCCCCGTCTTCTTTGACCTTCAATCTTTCCCAGCATCAGGGTCTTCTCCAGTGAGTGCTCCCTTCTCATTTGGTGGCCAAAGTATTTGAGCTTCAGTTTCATTATCTGGCCTTCCAGGGAACAGTCAGGGTTGATTTCTTTTAGGATTGACTGATTTGATCTTCTTGCAGTCCAAGGGACTCTCAAGAGTCTTCTCCAGCACCATAGTTCAAAAGAATCTATTCTTCAGCGCTCGGCCTTCCTTATAGTCCAATAACATCAGCCTCCCCTGCTTCAAGTCCTCCATGGCGCAACTCACATCATGGTTGCCAGATACAGTGCTTTAATTCCATCAGAGTGATCCACCGCCCCTCCTGGCATGAGCTCAGCATACACTGGAATGAAACTAATCACCAAGCTGCCATTAGGTATAGGTACATTCTAAACTTTAAGAGCCTCTTGCTCATAGTGAAAGAGGAGAGCGCAAAAGTGGGCTTGAAGCTCAACATAAAAAAAACTAAGATGAAGAAGAAGAAGAAGAAGAAGAGATTGGATTTATACTCCAGATCCTACAAGCTAGGCTTCAACAGTACGTGGATAGAGAACTGCCAGAAGTACAAGCTGGGTTTCGAAGAGGTAGAGGAACGAGAGATCATATTGCCAACATTCGCTGGATTATGGAGAAAGCAAGAGAGTACCAGAAAAATATCTACTTCTGCTTCATTGACTATGCTAAAGCTTTTGACTGTGTGGATCACAACAAACTATGGCAGGTCCTTAAAGAGATGGGAGTACCAGACCACCTCACATGTCTCTTGAGAAACCTGTATAAGGGCCAAGAAGCGACAGTTAGAACTGGATATGGAACAACTGATTGGTTTAGCATAGGAAAAGGAGTACGACAAGGATGTATATTGTCGCCTTGCTTATTTAATATATATGCAGAGTACATCATGCGAAATGCTGGCCTGGATGAATCACAAGCGGGAATTAAGATTGCTGGGGAAAAGATCAACAACCTCAGATATGCAGATGATACCACTCTAATGGCTGAAAGTGAAGAGGACCTCAAGAGCCTCTTGCTCAGGGTAAAAGAGGAGAGCGCAAAAGTGGGCTTGAAGCTCAACATCAAAAAAACTAAGATCATGGCATCCGGCCCCATCACTCCTTGGCAAATAGAAGGGGAAGTCGTGGAAGTAGTGACAGACTTCACGTTCCTGGGATCCCAGATCACCGCAGACTGTGACAGCAGCCATGAAATTAAAAGATGCCTGCTCCTTGGGAGGAAAGCGATGGTGAACCTCAACAGCATGATAAAAAGTAGAGACATCACCCTGCCAACAAAAGTCCGCATGGTCAAAGCAATGGTATTCCCAGTAGTCATGTGTGGCTGCGAGAGTTGGACTATTAGGAAGGCCGAGCGCCGAAGAATAGATTCTTTTGAACTATGGTGCTGGCAATTTGTCTTTAAATAGCTTTAGCACGAAATTATTCAGTTTGGGAGAGTTAAGGGACAATCCACGTTGTTACCAAGCCAGTAATCTGATAGAAGTGATAGAGAAAGATGGATTCCTCCCCATAGCAATAACAAGGCAGTTGGAGGCTGTCAAGCATGCATAGACTGAATTCGTGTTATTTTTCCTCCCATGTTGTAATGGATGAAGGACTGTACAAATTGGGTTCAGGCATATAGATTGATACACATAATACCCATATAACACCTAATCCCGTAGGTGGAATGGGCATACATTCACACATTCCACAAGCAGGATGAGGAAAAATGTTCCTAAGTAGTGATACAAGAAAACAAATCTCCAAAACTTTTAGACAGTGCACTTGTACCTCTGGATCATTTATGTTATGAGAAATTTAAAGAAACATCACATTTAGGCAAGCAAAGCAAAGGTTTGCTAACATTGTCTATTTCAAACCAGTATTCTAGTCCAAGATGGAGATCTCCCCCTCCCCCTGGCTTCTCAATGAAAGTCAAATTTGATCTCAAGTTTGAATTTCTTAAAAAGAAAAGCCAACATTTTAAGGGGATGGCTGGGCTGAAGCACAACTTGACATAGTGAACAGTGAAAGTCAGCGGTCTGGACACAGGCAGGTGGGATATACAACAACCACAATGTGCCAAATGGTACATTTTAGAAGTCCCTAAAAGAACCTCTCAGATCTATTTTAATGGTTTAAAATATGCCTACTTACTTTGGTCTCTCTAAGCAGGAACTGTAAATCCCGGCCACTGAGGATACCATGATTCTTCACATAGGTGGGCATGTAGACAGCACTTGTCCCGTGAACAGTTCCATGGACTTCTGTATAAGTGTGGATGATATCCAAGTAAGACTTCTTATCCTAGAATAAAGCACAAGACAGCCAATGTGAGTCCTCGCACAACTGTCTCTTGAAACAAAACAGTGACTTAGACCCATGACTTTAAAGGTCGATAAAGTATACAGACCCATAAGAAGCTTGCATTTAGACTACAAAGCGTCAGTTTAATTGCAGTCTCAAGCAGAAGTTATCAGAAGGATGGCCAATAATTGCAACGGAAGTGAAATTAAACATCAAGAGAACAGATGCATTGTCACACACAGTATTTGATTCATCATCAGGTTACTAAACTGGTTCTTTAAAAGTCTGCAGGAAAAATACATGCTGAACTATTTTAATACTGAACAAAATAGACTTCTGAGACACGATTTCCTATATCCTCTGCAGTATCAAGATTAAACAAAACTGTGCTAAATCAGACCTAGATAACCATTCACTCTCCCTATACTGGTATTGTCTCCCTCTGTTTTCTCTCCTTCTCATCCCACTTTCCCATGCACACACTGGAAAGCAGCAAGTTCCCGCAGTATACTGTGGTGTAATGGTACTGCTTTAATGCTGCTCACACTCTGGTATTTTATATTTCACCCTTGAATAATTTTGGATGGGGATCTTAAACTGAAGTCCTAAGCTTTGTTTACTCATGGGAATTAGAGAAATACAAAGAACTGTTGATGTTTTGGATGGGGAATTTTTAAAAATGTTAACCTGCCTTCCTCTTTTCTAGAATTCGAAGATGAATTGTGAAGCACTAAGTAGCCTTTGGAACGTATTGCATGAAAGCTGCTGCTCAAATGTGCAGGCCAGTAACCGCAAAGTCTGGTTTCACAGTCAGGCAGTAAATGCTCCCCGTTGTCTTCAGTACCACCGAAGCAGTATGAGCTCACAACTGCATTCCTCAATGTCATCACATGCAACTGCTACACACGATTCCCTGTTTTGAGTCAAAATGGGTGAGAACGCATTTACAGTTTGTTCAATTTGTACAGGAAAGTTGAGGGGGGAGACTTCTTTAGAAAAATCTTGGAAGTCTGGGACCCCCAAGCACCCATCCGTTACATTTTAAAATAGGGGCACACCAGCTGTACTTTCAAGTGAGAGTATGCAAGCTACAAGTTCAGGGATCTTTGGAGATGATAGTTTGACCATGCTAAGTCATCACATCACAAATTATTTCAGTTTAGCATATTTTCACCTTTCTTACGCTTTAGGTCAAAAACATTTAGCTTTCATAGCAACAACTGAGAGTAGCAATTTCAGCATTAACCACCCCTTCAGAAACAAAACGAAGAGCTTCCAGACGTCTCTAAGAGATATACACAGTCAGTTCCTAAACTTGTTTGGAAGTTGCAAAACAAACAGGGCACAGGATTTTATTTTTGCATGGAATCTATATTGCTTTTGTTTTACCAACAATCATAATGGTGTGTGTGGCTGTGCAGGTGCATCTATGTGGAGAAAAAGTATTTATATTGCAAGTATCTTTGGTGGATTCAGTGTTCTCCTGGAATTCCACATCCATACATACAGGTGTGCACAGACACACACACACTCTCTCTCCCTCCCACACACGCAGTACCATCATGCAGGATCCCTGTGATCAAGGGCTGAAGGTAGGTTTTGCCCTAACAGAAACAGTGTCATTAATTGTAGCACTTTACTTCCAATCGCGTGATTGGAAACCATTCATTTAAAGTAATGTGGTTTGATCCATATCCTGGTGATCTCAGCAATTGACAACCTAGTCCACTCTAATCATCACACCCCAGTCTCTATTTTGTTATTATACTACTCATAATAAATGTGTTGGGAACTGGTATGTCTTACATATAATGTATATATGTATGTATTAGGAAATGAAACACAATATTAATAATTAACTGAAGACATACTGTAAAAATTAAGCCACTGATATAATTACAGATCAAAAGTTGTGTCCTCAATTGTTCTTTCCTTTTTTGGGGTATATCTTACTCTACTGCACATGAAAACCAGGGAAAGAACAATTCCCATGGTGCTTTGCTGAACTGTGCATGTGCAAAACAGCTCTTGATCCAAATATTTTGGCAGCCATTACTACTGTAAGGAAACACAAAGGAACAGCGAACGGTAGGATTTTTTTTTAAGGACCAATTAATTTCCCAACAGTTTATATATCTAATGATTGATTTAACTTTGTGTTTTGGCTGTGAAGAGAAGTGGATAAAGAGAACTGAGTTCCATGGAGCTGTGTGACAATGCACATGCATGAAAGCCAGTTGTGTTGTGCTGGAAAGGAGCAGAGTTGCCCTTTGAACAGGCCCAAGTAAGTCGTGAGCACTCAGGCCAATCATTAAAAAAAATCAGCTGCCTGATTGTGACTGGCAATCAGGATACAATCTGAACAAGTTAGTACTTGAGCATTCCTAATTAAGACAGAGATCTGTGATCAGCAGCATGGGCCCAGCTTCCTGCTATGGCGGGAAGCCTCCCACCGATCGTCATCATTGTCAGCTGCCACTCCAAGTGGCAGCAGGAGGGGAAAAAAATGCCACTGGCCTCTGAGCCAGAACATGACTTCTGGGTAGAGCCCAGAATTGACAACGGGTAACTCCAGAAATCATGGGAAACAACAGAGTTTCCAATGATCCCTAGAACCACCCATTGTCACTGCTGGATTGTACCCAGAAGTGACAGTGACAAAGTGACATTGCCGATGTCACCAATATCATATGGCCCCCACTTCCCCATCCCCCAACCCTCCTGCTCATTGCCAGGCTCGACCTGGTGACTCTAGCAATCAGATTTCCTAGCAATAAAAATATCAGAATTAAAAAGTAGCCACAGTGCTCTTCAGTTTAGACCCAGACTGCAGTGCTGTGGAGGGTTTATTTTAAACCCTCCCCCCACACAGTTTTCCCTAAAGAAATCGTTCTGTCTCTTGGACCTCCTGCTAGCCATGGTAGGAAAAACAGAAATAGAAGATAATACACCTAGAGTACTTTTTTGCTTTGTTTTTTTCAACTGCGGCTAACAGCAACTGTAGGGAGTTTGGATTTCTACTAAGGGAATGGTGTGGAGGTTAGCAAGGGTTAAACCTACCACAACCGTCCCCAAAACAAGCAATTAAAGCTGTCCTTTTAATTTCTCATAACACTGTAAAGGTGAACTAATAATCTGCACTACACAGTTTACTAGGATACAATGATGCCTATAAATTATGCTTAAAAGTGAAAACAGACAAAGCTATAAAGTATACCTATGAAAATATAATCTACTTATGCTGGGAACAATGAAAAGATCACCTTGAATCTTATCTACAGAAACCATGCAGCCCATGCTATAAATAAAGTCAGATTATACATGCTGTAAATATCAAAGAAAGCTTTCAGCTAAAAAAGGGGGCAGCTATGTCTCAATTTCACGGATTTTTTAAATTAAGCTATCCAAGGTGTTCTTTTTCCTGCCACCTGTTTAAGAATAGACAGGCCAAATACACATTCAGTATTCATAAATTATTATAGAGGATATAAGACACTTCAGGCTTCAATCTACATTTTACTGTGTGGAGGAGATGAAAACAAACTGTTAAGTGACAAAACAGCCTGGTTATGCGTTGTCCATGACAGCTTCTGGTTTGGGAGAGGAAAGACAGTGTCTGGCATTTCCCCAGCATCACTTTGAGGTTTGCAACAACATAAATGGCTGTAGAGGACCTAGAAGCATTATTAGAACTTCTGAGAAGCTTTATGATGCCATCACTAAGCATATTAGAACAGGGTTCAGAAAAAGAACACCATGAAACAACTCCTAATCAGGAGAATAATACAGTAAAATACACCTAAGCCAATGTTAAGTATGCTTTGTCAGTTGAATATACATCTTAGTACAGTCTTAAATAGGAAGGAAAGACATTTAATGAAAACTGTTTGATAAGTAACTACATGTAAGAACTTTGGACCTGAAGAGAGTTGCAGATGGGGAGTGTGAATTCTTTCAAAAACAGATTCATGTTTAGAAATCTTCAGTTCTAATCAGGGAGTAGTATGAGAGGTCAACACCACCCATGAATGCAATGCACAACTGGAGACATTAAATCTTCATGGAATGGCACTGTTCAAAATTCTTTCAGCAAATAAATTTACTTCCCAGGAGTACATTTTAGTACCAGGATGCATGCACACTAAAATATCTTTGTTACAACTACTGCTCAGTTTGTTCATCAATATGCAAATGAACAGTGATGATTAAATTATGCATTTGTTTTATGGAAGCGCTTCCATTAAACCACGCACAGAGAGAGAGAGAGAGATTTACCTCAGTTCATATGCAAAGTACTAAATGCGCCAGCCAAAGATTTTGGTCTCATTCTGATGTGGGAGGGCAGGATAAAAATATTTTAAATGCTGGGTAGAAGTGCCAGTGGTTTGTTAGATGTGCTTGTGGAGGATTGGCATGGCTGCCTCTTCGAGGCCATTGATGAAATTGCCTCCAGGGCTCTCTGTACCCTTGAACCAAAGCAGCCCCATAGTACAACCTGGAGCAGTGGAGGATGAAACGGGAGCTGAGACGGCTTGAGCAAGTATGGTGGCGTACTTGTGATGGAGCTGCAAGAACATCTTACAGAACATTTATGAGAGTCTATAAGATGGCAGTGAAGTCCACTAAGAAGGAGTTCTATGTAGCCTCCATTGTGTTTGCAAATTCGGGCAGGACCCAATTGTTTAGGACTATTTGGTCTTTAACTCTATTGCTAAAAGGCAAGCAAAATAGTAGAGAATTGTCTACTGGCTTTTAGGCATTCGTGAAGTATCTCGCAGATAAAGTCTTGTTGCTCTGCCAGGACCTCCCGACCACAGTTCATACAGTAAGTGAAATGGAAGCCCCTTGTCCATCTTCAGGTCCTATATTGGACCACTTCAAATGACTCTCTCAGGAGGATGTTGACAAGGTCCTGGTTGCTGTGAGGCCAACTACTTGCCTCCTTGACCCATGCCCTTCCTGGATGGTTAAAGCCTGTGGGGATGGCATTTGGGTCCCCC